GATTTTATTGCTTGGTTCAATTAATTCGAATTTAAATTTCAAATTCATTTACGCCACTTTTCACCTATTGCAGGCCAAGAGTTTCGAAACCGTCCACCCCAACTCTCCTTCGGTCAACAATAAATTCAGGTTTCACTTCACATTCCTTAATAATTTTCCTCTTCAATTCCTCCAAAAAGGAAACGTTTTTCTTCTGCCTCAGGTTAATTTCTGTTTTCTCAGAACTCTATTTTAACAATTTTTTTGGTTTCGTTCTTCAGCAGAGAAACGACGCCGTCCAGCGAGCTGTGCTTAGGCTCCGACGAAATGGAATCGCAGGCGCCGGCGGTGTATCTCCGACGGGGACAACTCCCGGTGAGCGAAGCTCCTCCGAGTGATGAGATCGAAGAGTTCTTCGCCATGGCCGAGAAGTACGAGCAAAAGCGCTTTGCAGAGAAGTGAGTACTTTTTCCTCTCTTGTTTTATTTCTTTTAATTTTTTCTAATAGTGCGCAGCATAAGCTTGTACCGTTTCGTGTACTCTACCCCAGGCGCATTTTAGCAGCTGGGAATCGGAACCCTAACAACTAACCAACAACTTTCCTATTTCTTCTCCATTTGGCTCAGGTACAACTATGACATCGTCAAGGATGTGCCTTTGGAGGGCCGTTACCAGTGGGTTCGTTTGAAGCCATAAGCAAGCAGCATTCAGTTAGCTACGCGAGAGAGAGAGAGCAGAAGAGAGAGAGGGAAAGAATAAACTGACACTAGGTAGGACAGAAAGTTGCATGCAACTTCTAATTTTATGCTTTTGTTTTGGAGCTATAGAGGTCTGGGTTCTAGCATATATGCACGGAGGAGGGTTTGAATTTAATTTGGGTTTTTATTTGTACAGCTGCTTCTCTTTTCTTTCTACGTCTCCATGGTGTTGTCATTGTGCACACCAAATGGAAGCTTCTAATTCTTCTGCAACTCCCCAGCTTTTTAATTCAAATATATTTTGCAACAATTTCCACATTTGGAGAGCCCCTCTCTTTCTCTCTACAATTGACACATTAGTAATTTATTTATTTTGTTCTTTTTGGGTTTTTAGTTTTGGGTTTTGGGGTTTTCCTCTTTGGACAAATGCAAAGACATATTGAATAACACAGTTTTGGTTTTGTGCTTGGAAAAAAGAAAAAGAAAAAAAAAAGAAAAAGAGAAAGGGTTTTTTGTTTGGGTCTGTTTTGGGTTTTGTGGCGGTGTGTGTGAATCTCTCCATCTTTCTTCTCTTTTTTTTTTCTGATCAGCTTTGCTTTTTTTAATTGCTGGCTTTTACTGGTTTACTCTGCCTGCCTTTTTCTTATCCTTTGTTTTTTTTTTCATCTTTGCGTTTGGGCCTTTTTCCTTTCCGAATATGCTTTTTCATGTAATGGTAATGATTCGTTGTGTTGCTTGGAGTGGGGACCAACCAAGTAGCTAGCTTAGCTAGCTAGGCGCCACTGGGAAAGTAGAAAGTACCCAAATATTGTAATGCAAATTTGGCTTCTCACTTTAGAAGGCAGGCTTATGTGAATTTTCAATTAACAAAGTAATTTGTTGCAATTTTTTAAGCCCGAGTAGAATGATTAAAGATTTGGAATCTTTCAAGATATACTATGTCTAATTTTAAAAGAGAAAAAAAATGATTCAATGTCTTAAACCACTCTAGGTTTTTAGATATTGAATCTAAATTCTAAGTTTGGTTTCTCCATTAACAGAGTTCAAAGATGAGCTAGTACTACTCTACTTGCTACTCATTTTATCAAATTTAATCGAATGAAAGGATAGTGATTTGAGCACTCTCAGCTAGTGTGTATAAATGAAATTATTGAGGGTGCATTATTGTCCTTTGACAACACTTTAACAACGTGCTTGAATAACCCGTAAAAAAGACAAAAAAAGAATAACCCGTAAGTACTTTTAAATTGTTCTACCAAATGAAATTAAACACATTTTTAGCAATTTCAAAAATACTACCAAATAAAAGAAGAAAAGTTAACAATTTGATCAATAAAGAAAAGAACACAGGACAGGAGAGGTGTTTAAAACGGTTTTTGAGGAAAGTAAGAGACGGCTGGCTCCTTTTGAAAAGCTGGACAGGAAATATTCGCAATGAGGTAGAATCAGTCGCAGACCGAGTCACTCTGGCACAGGGGCAGAGGAAGGGAGGAGATAAGAAAAGGGTGGCAGAGGGTATTGTCGGAAACAAAAGCAGCAGGTTACATGCATTTTGACATGATTACACACGTGTCAAAAGGCAATCAATCCACTCTCAATCCCATGTGGGGTTTGTTACTTGGTTGCTTCAGGATCCCACCCGTCTAGCTTCTCCTCTCCTAAGAAGTACCCAGAAAGATGTTGAGCAAACAATAATGCTAAAACTTACTTTTCCCAACAACAAAAAAATTGAAAATTGAATATGCTTTAAATAATGTAGTACAAAGAATATGCTTTAAATAATTTCATAAGTAGTAAATGGCTTGTAGGTTAAGAATATTTGCTCCTGCAAAAAAGGTTTTAGGTTTGATTCTCTCATCTTTCAATATCGCTTGTATAAGATTTTTTTGACAATATTCTCACATAATTTGAGACTTATGAAATTGTGAGATCACATAATTCACAAATAACTAACTCTAGATGAAAGACTTGGGGAAAAAAGAAGAAGATATATTTAGTTATATATACTCATTCTTAGCACTAAAACTATAAATAAACATTAGACCATTTAATTTCTATAAACAAACAAAAAAAAAACACAAAATATGATAGCTGACCCTATTGAATTTAATTTTGATTATTAAATTACTTTGATGTCCTATTGAGTGTTTTGGGCTTTTTTTTATTTATGAGATTTTGAGATTGAGTTTGTTTTAAGAAATTAATGGCAATTTTGTAATTTAAAAGAAGTTAAAAGGTTTTTTGTTATGTTGTAAATGAGCTTTAAATGTGTTTCTAAAGTTTATTTTATATATGATTTTTTTTATAATTTGGGTTCCTATACTGAGTATAATAGTAAATCTCTCAAAAAAAAAAAAAAAAGTGTGTACAGTGTAGTATCGTTTGCTCCTCAAGATGTGGCTAGTGAGGGAATTACATGTTTTTCAGAAGGTGAAATGGGAAGTAGAGTAGAAGAGGGCCTCACATGCAATTGTGGAGTGAGGGTCGATGCATTGGTTGGTTGGCTTCGGATCTGATGCACATTAATTTTAATGCAAAGTCAGAGAGAGAGAGAGAGAGAGAGAGAGAGAGAGAGATTGGGATGTGGGGGGTAAAAGAATGTTGCTTGCTTATTAATGAGGGACGCTGGTTTCGATTTTGGTGTTTCTTTCTTTTACCTCTTTTAAGCGTTCGACATTTGAAGATTTCAGTGTTAGTTTTGGGTAAAATTCAAGCCCCCACACACCACCTCTCCTTAGACATTACTTTTTTCTTTTTCCTTTTCTTTAACAAGTTCTGAAATTCTGAAAAAGTGGCAACCACATCCTTTCTAACATTTTAATATTAGTGTTCTCTATGCCATTCATTATCATTATGCATGTGTGGGTGGTCCTCAATCAATTTAACTACTAATTCATTTCAATTTGTGGGTTAAAAGGCGGATTGGTGAACTCGTCCTTTTGAGTGTAGATAAATTATCATAGATTAGAATATTAATATGCGATGTCATCAGTTCACGTGTTATAATAGAATGAAAAATTACTCGTGTTTTTAATTTGTACACTAATTATAATTTTATTGGTGATTGAAAACTCGTTGTGAAGTCTGTATGCGGATAACCTTGTGTTACTACCATTAGCTAGTTTTTTATGATTGGCCAAGTAAAATTGCTATCCTTGCAATCGATCGATTAATTTTTTGTACGATCAAATACCAAATTAAAGTTAGAAGAAAAGGTGGATGACAGAGTATCTGAATTCTATAAAAGGTTCATATAATTTTCTTGTAGCTTCCTCGTCTTTCATGCAAAATGAAAATGGTGAAGTCTCTCTCTTCTTTTCCAAGTAGTTATGTCTCTCCATGATCTGTTAGGTTTCCATTTATGTTATCAGAATGAGACCATTCATGGTCGTTAGCTTTTCTTTCTCTTCCGTTCTTGATGAGCTAGCTAATTACATAAACACAGATACGTTAGGTTTGCAGAAATGTTTAATTTGGTCACGACCCAACTGCTTTTTGGGCCACCAAATTAAAGCTGGCTATTTAAACTTAAAACGTTACCAAGGTCCAAAGCTTAAGAAAATTAAAACAAAATACAAAATTAGGTGCCCTATAGGGTGCCACAAAAACCCCAATTTGGGTTGGGCTTGATTTCTAGATTTTCTAGCTCCTTTGTGGATGAGGGGAGCTTTTTCTTTGGGCTACGTTTCTTGGTTAATTGTGTTTGATTCTCTGAGCCGATGATCTTTTGGCCCTCTGCTCCTAAAAAGATAACAAAAAGTGGAATCAAAAGTATGAATTACTAAACAAAGAATGGTCAACTTAACGTTAATATTCTTCTTTTTGGCAGGAATTATCCGAACTTTTCTTTAAGGACATTTTCGCTCACCACGTTAATTGGCGGTGAGTATTATCATCACATTAATCGATGTTGAATGAGTGTGATATAATTTATCTACTATTCGAATCTCAAAAATTAAACTTAATCAGCAACAATTAACGTGATGGTAATGCACACCACCAAATAAGGGTGGGTGGTGAACAAGAATGTTCTCTAATAGCATAGCTTAATTAAATAATTGACACTAGCTACATAAAGTGGACATCATCATAAAGCAATTAAAACTGTTTGAAAACGGTATAACTTTTTCTTGAACAAATAAGTTGAAAGAGAGAATATTGCTAGAAATTGAGAAGAGAACATAGGAAAGAAGTTGAGAGAAAAGAGACGATGGAAGACTTTGTAGTGTATGTGGACTCATCACGTAGGATTTTGGTAAAAAGAAAAGTACACTTTAGACGTAGGAAAAAATAACTTCCATCTTTCTTTTCTGTTATTGTTTGGTGTAATTTTATGTTTGCATTCGTAAAAGTTATTATATTTTTTTTAGTATAAGCAATAGTCTAAATTACAAAGGAGGAGGATTTCTCACATATACATACAACTATAATGTTGTGAGGATTCGAACATAAGACCTCTAATTTGCAAATTAAGACTATTCTTCACTAAGTTAGACCTCGTTAGGATATCATATCTTTTTGGCTTTATTGACAATTTGATTTCTAAGTCACATCAACTGTCTATATCTGATATACATGTGAGAAGCATTAAAACATTTTATAAGAAAATTTGCGTACACACCACAAACAATGTTGAAGCACTTAACATGGGACACTATAATAAGAAACATATCATATTAAAGTGATGGCAATCCAATTTAAAAGAACAAATTGTTTGATCACTCAAGTAAATGGTATATTTTTTATTATGTTAAATTAATCACCACAACTTGTTTGATCACGTTAGTTGTCCCATTATATGAACAATTATATATTATGCAATGTCATTGACGCGCTCACCTCCTAAGTACGAGAAATCATAGACTGGTACTATAGTACGATAATGTGATATAGTTTGTATATGTATTATAACATGAGTGGACATAATGGTTGATATTTCCTATTTTTTGGGGAATAATATCAATAAATATCCACTTATTTTATAACATATGGACAAGTTATACCATGTACCTATACTACCGTACTACACTATAATTATTCACTAAATTCAACCTTTCAACCATATTGATGACATATTTCGAGAAGAACTAAGTGGAGAACTTTTCTTGTTACTATTACTTTTTCTTTTTTCGTATCTTGGGTTAAAGCATAGTTTTTCTTTTTGGTAAAGATCTTAAAACTATACGTATAACTAA